TATTTGAGATGAAATTGTAATGTTTCACTGAAACGAGTTAACAAATATGAATCGTAATGAACATATTCAGGTTGTGATAGCATTAGGTAAGATGTGGCATCCCGAGCATTACGTATGCTGTCAGTGTGGAGAAGAGTTGGGTCATCGGAATTTCTTCGAGCGTGGTGGTAAAGCGTACTGTGAGAACGATTACCACGACATATTCTCACCGCGTTGTGCCTATTGTAACGGACCGATCAAAGATGTTAATTCTGTTTCTTTTTTTTTCTTACGAACTTCTCGGTCGTATTATTTGTAATTGTTGGTGGTTTCCTGATCGACAATTCAGCGATACCTTTGTCATGAAGTGCTCGTTCAGTTGATCCTGTTAATCATCTTTTTCGAATTTCATAGCCAATGATTTTCAGCGTTGTGTAACAGCCCTTGGTAAAACTTTCCATGCTGAGCATTTCGTTTGTGCAGAATGTGGACGAGAATTTGGTGACGAAGGTTTTCATGAAAAGGTTTGTGTGTCTTCGAATAAAATAAGCCCTGCTGGTAGGTCGTGTGTAGAATAAGCCATGCTAGCAGACTTTATGTATCTTCGAAGNTGATGCTGATGATAAGTGGAAGTAGCAATAGAATTTAAGAACTGTTAAACGACGTCATCAAACGTCTGTTATTATCAAGCTTCACGTCAAGGAATGCTCAGCTTTCACTTTCAAGCACATGCGGTCGTTACCGTGACACAGCCAGGTGAAGAACTGGTAATTTTCATGTGTGCAGATTGAATTTTTCAGGACGGTCGTGCGTACTGCAAAGCGGATTTCTTCAGAATGTTTGCGCCTCGATGTAACGGTTGTAAGAATCCGATTAAGATGAATTTCATAACAGCGTTGGGAACGCATTGGCATCCGGAATGTTTTGTTTGCCAGGTACTGTTTAGTGATTCAACTTTTTTGAAATTATTTAATTCGCATTTATAAACATTAGAAATATGGAGATCTTCAGCGCAAAGAGATTCGTATTCACTGGATAGTTGAGGAATTCTCTCTATTTTTCCTATTTCTATTCATTGAGAGTTTCCTGAAGTTGTGATTGTTTGTTAGTGAAGTTTTGGTTTTGTTTCATTTTTTGTTCTCAGTATATTCATTTTTCTTAAATTGTGATCGCTCCTATTTGAATTTTTCAATTTAAAAAATAGTTAGTCATTATTATAGGTAAAATTGAATTAACCACTAACACTTCCTCATTGTTAGTTTGGTGTGATGACCCACGTTTAAAGCATGTCTTGACACTGTTTAGTTATATAATATAATAGTTTTGTTTTGATTTTTCTAACCTGGTAATTTTGTCGTTTCAGAGTTTATTGTAATAATTGCGAGTTTCATCTTCCGATTTGCTGACATCTNAAAAAAATCTGCTTCTCAAATATAATTCGCAAAAAAGTAGCACCTATCATGGATGTAGAGTGCGATGATTCCTAAATTTATTCAGTTCAATCAGTGAGTATTTGTTTGAGGATTGTCTTCCATAATAGCAACACCGAGTGCCGTGAGTAGATGGTAGTAAATGAAACTTATAGGAATGTCATCTGCCATTCGAGAGTGGTTCATTCTATGAGCATTTCGGTATGCCATTGTGTGAGACACACTTCCATGAGAAACGCGGTAGTTTGTGTGCATCGTGCAATAAACCGATCAGTGGACGTTGCGTGTCGGCGATGGGACACAAATTTCATCCAGAACATTTCTGTTGTTCGTACTGCCGTAAACAACTCAATAAAGGAACGTTCAAAGAGGTCGACCGTAAACCGTATTGTCATAAATGCTATCAAACAACACATGCTTGAAATATGATAACAATTCGATTGTTATTGGCTTCATTTCGTTTGATTTTGTTCGTTTCGTTTCATTCATTGTTTAGTTAACTCCATATCTGAGTGTTTGTGTCATCTATTAAACGGGATAGAAATTCATACTTTTCTTGGTATTCTTTGATGTCATTGAAGTGTTTTTTCTGACGAAACAGTAACTCTTCAAGGTCTTCATCGTTTTGGTTTGTTCTCAATTCGTTGATGTTGGTCGGAATAGCTTTCAATAATTGTCGTTGATTGATTGATACTATAAATTGATTTGAAGGTATTTTATTTGTGGAAGTTATTGTTTTTTTTTTTGTAAAAATGTTCCACAGTACATCGCACGTGCAAAAAGAATGCGTTATGCCTCAGCAGTTGTTTGAGAGAAATTTGTTCAGAAACTCAATCGTTCGTAACGAAAAACGAATATGTATTTTGTTGTTGTATTGTGGAAATTATTTCTGATTGTGTACGGTTAAGGTATTTTCTCACGTTCTTTGATTAGAAATCAACCAACTAACAGTTGATTCAAGACATTCATTTACAGTAACAAAAACTAATCGTGTGAGAAAGTCCATGACAGTAATAATAATGTGCGTGTCTTCGTTCATCAAGTGTTCTGTACGCCTTTTTAAGTTCTNTTTTTTTTCGATTGGAATTGTTCAAATGCTTTTCTTTTTTGTACGCTGTGAGTTGAAATTCAACCAGCCATAGAGCATAGCTCATTTGCATTTATATAGCATGGTTTGTCCATTTCATATCATCGCGATGATTCATGTTTTTGTTTGTTTATTATGATTATATTGTATTATGATTCTGACCAATGGAGTAGTCAAAATCGAATTGAACGATTCGAAAAATAATTAACAGTCAACTTTATCTTGTGAGTGGTACTAAATTCATCTAGAAATGCAATCGAAAAAGTCGAATGCGAAATTCGATGCGTTTGAAAAAGAAATAATTGCTTTTGTTGAACTCACTGAATCGAACTTTCAATTTTCATCATGAAAAATAACAGCAATATAATTGTGATTTGCATTGATCGTGTTTTTCGTTTTGAAAATATTCGTTGTTTTAATTACGTTTTTTATTAATCGTTCACTATGTCCTTAAGAATGTAATATTCATAGAATAACCGAGAAATGTGATGCAAAAATATGTGTCATATTTTCCATGTAATTGAGCAGTAATGAAATTTTCAACGGCACTCTTCTATTTTTGAGGTCACGTTGCTGAAATTGAGCAAGAATTGCCTATTGTAGACGAAATTGCTCCTGATGAAGATAACTCCATTCACCTGACTTTTGAGGATTATCACAATCCATTTAAATACAATGCTTATTGTTAGAAAACTTACGCTTATTGTTAGGAAACTTGTTTCCGCGTTGTGATGACTTCATCAGTACGTAAGATTAGCCGCAGAGTCACGGCGGTGGGAGGATTTCTTTCACAAGTCACTATTCAAACCTAACAGAAACTTAAAATAATCAGTTTATGTGACGGTATGGATGAGCTTCATGGGTTCAAATTTGGTTTCATGGGTAGACTATTCACTGAGATTGCCTTGGACGGTGATGAATTCGGGGAATGGTTGGCATTACCTGGTTTGATGCATGGCACTGATGCTGTTGTTCGGTTCGGTCGGAATCCGATCGATTTCAAATTTTGATTCGGATTCCGATTGAAATGCATCGGACTATACCGACCGAATTTCAGTCGATTACCATCACTAGGATAGTGCGGGGTATAGCACGGATGAAGGCTGGAAAAAGTAGGATCTATCGATGTGAGATGAGCCGCTGTAGGAAGACGTTGGGGAATTTAGGTGGTTCATTTTTTGGAGATGCTCTTTTATCTTCGAAGGAGGCATCGCAGCTATTATTCTACTGGTGAATGGAACAATCTCCGTGAGGGAGATAAATGAACACTGTTATGTAAGAACATGATCTAATGCTTTATATATGCCTAGCTAGTTGTAAATAATGCATTCATTGTAAAAAATGTAGCAATTACGCACAATGAAAGGTTAATACGCAAGTGTAAGAGAGTGGATGAGACGAAATGCAGCAAAATATACTGACATTTCAATGAGTGATCTTGGATTTCGAAAAATTGTTTTAAATTACATTAGAGTATAAACTAGAAGAGTGCCTTTTTAAAATTATTTTGCAAATTTTGAGACCAATTATTTCAGAAATTTTCTTCACTTCGTCATATGCACATTTTTGTCTTGTATTGTTCATTCGTTTGACGATTTCACTTCTGCATTCTTCACTCACTTTTTTTTATCGTTCTCAATTCGTTCATTCGCAATAATTTTTTAGTGTTCTTTCTTTGTTTCTGATTTTTTTGTATTGTTCAAAAGAGTGATTTCAAACGATATTCCTTTAAATTCGTTGATTGCTTTTCTGTGTGACAAGTTTGTTTTTACTTTGTTTTGGTTGGTGCTTTGATGTGTTGATTCCATGTGCTGTTGCCATATAGCATTTTCAGTTGTGTGCTCCAGAAACCAATTAATTAATTCGAATTCTTTAATACATACTTACGAATGAACGTATGTTCGTTTTTTTGGTGTGTTTTGTTGATGTGTCATTATGCAATATCAATAACTCTGTGAAGCTAATCACCTTTTTTTTTCTCAGTTTCCTTCCCTTCTACTCACGCAAAGCAAAGAGCGAACAACTGAGTCTTTTGCAGTTTCCGTCTTAAGGATATTTTTAATGATATCTTTGGGGAATTCGATATTGAAGCCCCAAAACTCGGTGAAATCAAAATCAATGGATAATTTCAAGCAGTTTTCATGAATATTTTAATGCGATTATCGCGATTAAGATTAGGAATTTTTTCGAATTCACGACTTCGAAATTCACCCAAATCAATTTCTTTCGTCAGCAACATCTTTCAGTCTACCAGATAATATTTTCTCTATGCAGTTCACATATGTTGTTTGCATTTCTGTTGTTTATTTGCGTTTTGGAAAATTCATTAATCAATGATCTTGTTATATTTATTAAATATTTCGTTCATTTTGTGTTATACTATTTGAAGCGGTAAATGAGTCGATGTTTTTTGAAAGCATTTNTTTGCGTCATTTTTAATGAGATAATTTTTTAAATGCTCTTTGGGAATTGCTGAATCCGTTTTGAGCTACTTTCTAAATTTGATGTAATGAAACGTTCCTTAATAGCAATAAATAAGTGCATTCCATTAAGAGCAGACATTCGATATCCGATTAAATATTTTTAATTCTTATTCTCAAGTTTTTATATCCATCGGTTTTCGTTAAATGTCTGCTTTCATGCCATTGAATAAGAGTGAGTTGCTCAATGGTCAGTGATTATCGGCTGTTCAGTTACTAAACGATGTAATATATTTTGAAGAGTGATGAATATTTCGCACACCGTTGTCCAATGCACGTGACGTACTTCGATGAAGATGATTATTATTGACTCGTTGAAGTGGAACGGTCAATGCTCAGTGCATTTCGCATACACTCGTATTATATTATACATCACAAATGTTGTTTCATTATGATATTGTTCAGAGTCATCGGTGATGAACGATTATGACTGATGAGTGATATATCTGATTCGTTTGTAGTTATAGTCAGTGATTTCTTGTCGTTTTAAATAGCACCTGTTACTTTACTCGTGCAAGTGAAGAAGTATTATGGCAAATTCAAAACGGCCGAACAACAAATGCTATAATCCGAGCAAATTTTTGGTCGATGACATAGCTCAACTATTGTACCAATTTACGAAGCAAGGTGCAGGTGCAGTATTGTGTAAAAACTTTTAATGCAACGACATCATTGGTTTCAATCATGTATGTGGAAATGAAAGAATAAAATTTTTTAATTTGTTGAAGTGCTACGAAAAGATTGCATACGATCTGATCGTCGGAACTGGAGGACTGGAAAAAATG